AAAATAGTTTATTTGTGTTGATGGGGTCATTTTTCATTTAATCACTCCGAATTTTCAAGTGATGCGAAAAATATTTATCACTCACATTTTTAAACACACAAAAGTTTAAATAACAAAATCGCAATTCTTTTTACGCCATCATTTTAATTCAGAAACTGACAATAGAGAAAAATCCGAATCGAGAAAAATCGATGACAAACAGCCAAGTAAGCAAGCCAGGTGCAGTGACCAATCAGCAGTCCAACAAGTTGTCTGTAGTCCCGTCTGCTCAGTGAGAGCAAAAAAAGTAGATAGACCTTCTGAGGTTGAAGGCAGCATGAGTTTTGAGATGGTCGTGGCCATCGATAGTTTCGATAGTCGATAGTCACAACCATCGGTAGTATCGATACTATCGTAAATGTCGACACTATCGATAGCTTTGATTAAAACAGTCCAAAAATTAAACCTAAAAACTTTTATTGAAAATGAGATCAGAATTGCTAAAATATGACGATATTTTCTTTTTCAAGGAACAAAAGTTTATCAACGATTTTTAGCTCCAAGTAGCATCTGCGCTCTGAAATATGTATGTTACTGAATAATGTATTTACGAGTGAAAACTATCGATAGTGCTTACAAAACCATCGATGTTTTCGATAGTCAAAAACCATCGATACTATCGATAGTGCCATCGATAGTTTTCCAGCTCTAAAGTGCTATGACTGGTTACGGATCGAGGAATGCCTGGTCAAAGCCAACTGTGGCCAAATGGTCAGATGTCTCATTACCAAGTACTTCGGAGTGACCTGGCACCCAGTGTCAAGCAAGGTCGTTTTGTTTACCACCAAAATTTCGTCGAGTCGTTGCATTGCCGAACTACTAGTTTGGTAGTACTTAGATAGAGGGCTGGCCAATGTCTCAAGTGCAGTTTGGCTGCCACTCCTTCACCCCCCCACCTACATTCCACCACGTAGTCCATGGCTTTGAGGATTCCAATTACCTCAGTCTGGAAGACCGAAACAAATGCCCCAAAATAAAAGTGAAGCTTATCCCCATTAACTTCGAAAAAAGACCCCAGATCCTGACCCAAAGTCAATTTTCGAGCCATCAGGGAAGATTCTAGGAACTCAACATTATAGAATCTATTCAACAAAGGTAATTGTGACGTACTATCCTGTAGCATTGAAAATACACAAGTGCTCAAATCTCTGCCACCAGCAATGTCAGCCTCGCCCCACTCAGTTTTATACCAGCATCCGTTTTTTTTAGTGCAGCAGTGCGTCAAGGGCACTACTAAAAAAATTAAAGTTAAATAAAGACGCTTTCAAGCAACTAGTTTGGTTACTATGGAAACCAGATAAATTTTCGTGGACCCCCACTTACATCTCGTGGTCGCCCATATTTTTTCACGCCAACGTACACCCCCCTCGAGTCTCCCTCTGGACCACTTTGGGAATAACTGCACTAAACAGACTAAAAACACATAAATACTGGCTATGACCAGCAATGATTAACATACATATGTATGAATGCTTAAGTATGTGTATATGTAGTGTGGTTAGTAAATTCATGAAAGCTTTGTAGGTTTGTGTCATTGATAAATTCGAATTCGAATCAAGCACTGCACTTAAAACATTGAAATTAAAGTCTACACTGCCTTAGTGCTTTGTGCTTTTGTATGGGAATGCACACATACGAACATATTTATATCATTAGTATTTTTGTATATGCGCCGGTAATTATAAGGGCGCACTTGACTGCATTGCAAAAACAGCCAAATGGTTTGCAAGTCTTTTTAGATAATTTGTAAAGATACAATTTGGATTTTAAATTTGTGTCGGAGGTCTACGTTAAAAAAGTTTTGACGCTAAATATTTTTACAAACCGATGCTTTAAATTAAACTGTCAATATGATTTTTGCCCACCTGCCTCCATATAGTCGAAACACTGTGCGCCGTTGGGTCTAATGAATGGCTGGCTTGAATGTTGCCAACAATCCCTCTGTCTTTGCCCCTCAAGTGCTGCCGGCGAGCTACTTAAATACCCTGTTGCGACCCTGTACTTTTTTAATAGGGCTCGGAATCTCATGCAAATGCAGGGTTTTATTGGGTATCTTCAAATGGATATGGTTAAGTTACCTTTACGAATCATGAAATTTCCTTTAAAATGGCATTTAATCGTTAGTTAGCATATTTTTGCATAGTTTGCTGTAAATGCATGATTTGCATATTTCTTGCGCATATTTTAGTATATTTTACCAAAAAAATGTATGTGCCTTTTGCATATTTTTACTTTTTATGATTACAACCATTTAAATTGAGTGCGAAATATTTGGACAAAAAAATTTCCCTTGACAAAAAATTGCCGTTGAGGAGATTTCAACTAATGGCTGGCCTATATGTATCTCTGATCAATACGAAATTACCCTAATATGGGTCCTGGGACATAGGGTCACTTCTAGCAAGGTGCGGCCTCGTTCAGGAAGATAAAAGTAATAATTAACGAAATTTATCACTCGAAGACCAAGCAGAGGTGGCACCGTACAGGATCGTACGGCAGTTCTGGCGGTCCCATGACCCACTTAAAATCAAAAAAATGAGCAAAGAAGATAGCTACAAACTTACTGCAGTGTTTCCGTTGGGGTAAATGCTGAAAGGATTGGATTGCCCTTCAACAGCCCCCGAATTGCTGTAGGTAAACTTTCGCGAACTATTAAACTGTCAATGTTTCTATTTACACAAGATTGTAACTGCCCTGCAGTGAAAAATTATCAATTGTTAAAACTAACCAAATTATAGTTAGCTTTTTGGCGAGATTTCGATTAGTACCTCACTTTTAATTAGCTATGACAAAACCAACTTAAAGTGAATTGTAAAGTCGTGCAGGAGTCATGCAGACGCAATCGGGAGTTGGTTTTCTTTACAAGTTTCTATTAAATATCCTCATACAAAAATTACTTTCAATACACTTTTTTTCTGAACTTCGCAGATTTTTTTTCATATTCAGGACAAATAAAAGGAAGATCGAAATTTTATACTATCATTTTGAAGTTATGTCTGACGGTGTTCGAATATGGGGCCACCCAGAGCAGAATATGTAAACAAATATGAAATGTAATAAAATAAAGTAAATAAATAAGTAAATAAAAAAGTAAAAAAAAACAAAAAAATATTTTGTTTTTCTTATTGATATTTTATGTCCAAAAGTAGTTAGTTACAAGTTAGTTGACATGTAATGCAGAGGTATCCAGGTCTGACTTTTTTGCGGCCATCGCCCCACAAAAGTAGTTAGCTTTTTTCGAACAAAATACACAGTTAATAGTTAGCACTAGTGTTCGCGTAAACAGACTAAAGTTAGGTATAAGCTAACGTCACTCCCTGCAGGGTGACTGCTTGATTATGGCCCTTATTATGAGTTGCATTCGATTTTCGATCTTCGCTGGCTATCGAAGATGAAGGTGAAAAGTGGAATAAAGTAGTTTTATTCGCACCAGAACTGAAAAGATCAGACTAGCCTACAAACATAAAATAAAATAAATTTGAACTGATCGGACAAAAAAGATAGATTACTTAAACTAAGTTTAAACTGGCACTGAAAAACTGGCCCTTAGTTTGCTCGATTTGTAAACAAAGCTTCTCGCCGGTGAAAAATATACTATTGTGAACAACCTAAACGAGCGAAATTCACAATAGCGCTATTCTTCATCGAATGAGCGCCATAATACCAAATGAAAATTCGTTCGATCAAACACTTTCGACCACAGTCGAAGATCGAATGCGACTCATAATACTTCGTGTATACGAACACGCGGCGTTACCCCGAGGGTACTGCGCAGTCGGCGTCGCCCAGACCTGCGTATGAGTTACTAGACGAGATGAGAATGTAACTCATACGCCATGTAGGTATGCACATATGTATGTAGGTTTGAAATCGTCCACCATATTGGATCCACCATTTTGAATATTTAAATTCTGATGCTATACTCGTGATCAGCGATTCTAAAAGCATTCGAATCCGCCTTGACCTAACAATTGACAACTGTGTTAACAAACTGAATGACAAATTTATTTACGCATTTACAGACATGACGAATTTTTCAATTCTGCCACATTTTATTTAGTGCATTATAAATTTACGAGTCTTTTGATATGCATTATGTTAATTTCTATGGCATAGAATTTTGGGCAGAGTTTTGGTCGTTTGACATGGAACGTCCCATACATATTTTTTTTTAATTTTACATACTTTATTATCACTTTTAATCTGCTCTGCAATTAACAAACTCTACTTATTAGAAACAAACCCAAAGAACTGCACTCTATATTTTTTACATACCTAACTCAATTTCGTTGTATTCTATTTATAACAAAAAATTAATAACTTTTGGCGGCACTCTAATAAATGGCCCGGCCAATTTCGGCCTTTGGTTTTAAGAAAAACAAAACAGTCCCGATTCTAAGTAACCTCGAAAGGCGCCATAGCCGCATTTTTAGGTTACAATATTTAAAAACCTGATTTCCGATTCGAATTCAGCGACGCAAAATCTATTACCACACGTCTCCACCGTCTACAGTCGAATTTCTTACCATCGCTGTCCTAACATCAGCTGTCATTTCGTAGTTTGACAACTCAGTTTTCATTTACCGCGCCATCTACATTACAGATACAGATCGATCTGATTGGCTTGGCGCCATTTTGAATATGATATGTTAAGACAGCAAGTTGCCCACATGAGAAAACGGGATAAAAATAAAACAGAAATTTGACAGATGTTAAGACACATTTAGTAGAAAATGGAGACGTGGGGTTAGAAATGGCTAACCTTATCTCAGATAAAATTTTTACTGGAACTGTGTTATAATCTAAAACAACGATCTAAATATATGTAAATATCTAGCAATTCGAAATAAATTAGAATTTTAAAGTGTTGTTTATTTTTGTATTGTAAGAAGATATTTTGTAAATAAAATATTATACACACCTAAAATGTTTTCATTGAATTTATGTAGAATAAAACTTACCTGTAATTCAGATTCGGTAACATCAATTTCGCCTCGATAAACAAAATCAATAATGGTCTTCAAATCAGTGAATATTATATCGCCGGGAAGAATGATTGTGGGATGCTTGCAGGGATTTTCCAAAAGCAGTTTTTGAAAATATGACGAGCACGCAGATAATACAACCTATTTGGAGGAAGATGGTAAAAAATAAATCTTGTTCTGATGTTTTCACTTTTGAGTTCTTAGAATAAGAATTTT